CATGAGAGTGACCAGAAACAGATGCGGCAATTGAAGAGCCTTTGTGTATCTACTCTAAATCCTCTGCATATATATTATGGTCATTGGCTTGGTATTTTAGGGGGACTCCTAATAGTGGATGTGGGGGTGTCCCTGGGACTTTTTCTCTGTGAGATTGCCTTGCCCGGCCTTGATGTGAGAGTTTGTGCCTAGTGTTGTTCTATCTTGTTGTGCTGTCTTCAGCTGATGCCTGCTCTTTTCTCAGGAGAAACCCTGGGGGTTGGGGGTGGGTAGAGGGGAACTGGGAGAGAACTGAGAGGACTGAAGGAGGTAGGGGAGCTTTGGTCAGGATGTATTGTATGTGAGAAGAAGAAAAAGAAGAAAGCAGGAAGAAAGAAAAGAAGAGAGGGAAAGAGGAAGGAAAGAAGAGAGGGAGGGAGAAAAAGAAATGGACTCAAAGGAAATAAAGTGATCATTTATGTGACCCTATTGCTTTTAGAAAAAAAAAAACACAATACAAAAAGGGCTACTATTTGTTTTATATTTTTCTACTCTTTTTATGATAAAAAAATGTGTGCATCTGGAATTAAAATCAAAACTTTAAATTAACTATTTGTTTATTGATAATGGTGAGTGGGCAAACTGCCTCTATCTGAGATCAACAGAAAAGAGATGCTGCTTAAAAAAAGAAAGCCATGACCTGAGCTGGAGTCCTGTTGAAGAGCAAAGCTCATCCAGCTTCATCTTCAAGCAGGAGTGGTGAGAGGAGACAACTGAACCTCCTAAGAAACACATCAGATTTCAACAAAATCGGGAAATAAAACCCATCTTCTCGATGCTTGGGGTCCAGTTTGTAAAGGTTTCTAGGTAGAAGTAGCTATTCATGGTTTCTTTAACTTCAAATATCAAGTACAAAAAGCAACATTAGCAAATTAACAAATGCCTTCATATTGAAATACAGTAAATGTTGAATCTCCTTCATATTCAAAAACGGAACTCTCAGCCCTCTATAAATTAAGACAATAAAGAAACTTATAAGGAAGTACATCCACAAGCAAAGATTCAGGTTAGTTTTGAAGATAGGTGCCTTTGTGTGCTGACTTTGCTTTTTGCAAACAGCTGTAAGAAATGATTCTAAGAATGTTGAAGTTTCAAGAGAGAAAATATATCTAAAATTTACTTGAGCATTCTACTTAGAGATTATATCAGCTGCGTCATCTACTAGGAAACCAGTAGATGAAGTTCAAGGACTCCAAAGTTTGTAACTGAAAGCATGAGAGGGTTTAAAGATGCTGGAGACACAGTCAGCTGAGATGCTTCCAGGGAGAGCTCATCCGTGCACATGGGTGTGGATATGGGAATGCACAAAGTGGGACCACCCTCCTTGCCTAGGACAATGCCCTGCAGACACACAGTTTACGTGTCAGCTGCCACAGTTCAAACCACTCGCTTTCACCCACTTTTTGTTCATGCAAAGATATGCAAGAGCTTAATCCACAGCACTCATATTTCACGCCAACCTCAAAGAGAGTGGCTCTGGAAATGACTCAGTCAATCTGCAATTCAGGATTAACTTCCTGGCTGGTTCTTATCTGTTCATACACCAATGATCACAACAAATTGTGTGTGGATTTCAAAGTAGAGGAAAGTATGTTTTACCACCCATATCAAAAATTAATTTGTAATGGCAAAATAAATACGAGCTACCAATGCCCAAGTTTACAGGTTGGTGATCTGGAAATATCTCATTGTGCCACTTTATTTTCCAATTAATTACTGAAATAAAAAATGCAATGCAAATGTGCTTGAATCCCACTGTGGTGAGGATATCAACTCTTAGCAGAAGAGCCATTTACTTAAGAATGAAAATACTTAGACACAAGAATTGAACTGGATATGAAATTCTTCAATAATGTACTCACTGCAATAGATATATACTTAAATTATTATAGTGTTATATTTTTAAAATCATTTGTTTGGCCCTGTAAGTTTACCTGAAGCCGGGTAATGATGAGTAATGCATGATATCATCTTTATCAGCATTTGACAAAAATCAACATCTTTTCACAAAAAGGAAGTCAACAGATTATAGAAGAAATACACCTCAGCACAGTAAAGGCCAACAGCACAACCCGCTGGCTCACACCGTCCTCAGCAGCGGAAGCGTAAACGTTTTCCTCTAAGATGCCCACTCTCTTGGCTCTATTTATCACAGGATCAAACATAAATAAGAGACATCCTAATCAGAAAAGAAGTGAGGCTGTCTGTATTTGCTGATAACATGGATTTTTATAGAGAAATTTCTAAAATTTTCTATATAAAATCTAAGTTCCTATATAAAATTTAAGTTTCTAAAAACTCAGTAATCATATTAGGTGGCCTTAAAGGGCATAAACCCAGTGTCCCCAAATAAGTAACATTTCTATTAACTACTAGCAGTTATTCAACAAAGAAATTAAGGGGGAGGAGAAATTCCATTTACACTAGGAAAAACAATAACAAATAGTGAAAAGAGCTATGTGGATTTAAAGAAAGATGGTTAGCACTTGCAGTGCAGACTTAAGGCCCTCAGTTCTAATTCTCAGCCACTATGGAAATAGCCAGGCACAGACAGTCAGCCCAGCTATAGGGGGCAAAAGGTGGAGGACAGAAACAGATGGTCACCAGCCTGGCTCCGGGTTCAAGAAGAGACCCTTCTCAGGGAAATAAGGGGAGAGATACTCTTCATGTCCTTCCTCCAAATTCCATATATGAGCATATACATGCATATATCACAAACAGATACCTCACACATACACACAACTAAGGAGGCAAAGGGGTGAACCAGAGGTCATTCTGTAATCAGGAATTGGAAGAATTGATACTGTAAAACCACTACGAGTTATCGAAAGAGTCAACGCAATGGTTACCAAACTCCCAACATCATTTTTCAAAGAAACGGTCAAAAATTCTTAAATTAAGATAAATATATAAATGACCCTGAATACCCGAAACAATATTAAACAAAAAGAACAAATTTTAAAACATATTATAAAGAGATTATAACAGAAAACCATATAGTAGAATAAAAACTTTTATATGACCCACTGACCAATAGAACAAGATAGGAAACTCCAAGAATAGACACACATATTTGATCAACTTATTTTTTTTTCTCAGAACTCATGACCAAACTCAGGACCTTGTACTTGCCACACAAACACTTTGCCACAGAGTCAGAAGAGACAAGGGAGTAGGCATAGCAGGATGACCACAGGAACCAACAAGGTATTATGTATCTCAAAATAACTAAAAAGGCAAACTTCACACATCCCAACATAAACATGATTGGCAAGCTGGGTAATGGATATGTTAAGTAGACTGATTTAACCATGCCATGTTGTATATAGAGTATCAACCCACTTCATTTTACCCAATAAATATGTACAATATTATTTTCAAATGAAAATAATAGTAATGTCTTAAGCATAACAAAAGCAAACTGTCACTCTTTATTTAAAGAACCATTTTGTAAGCCAATCACTTGTCCCTCAGTGTTTTCTTAAGAAAAGTTTCCTTAAAATAGTGCACAGAGTTACTTCTCGGCTCATTAAAAAGTCATCAAGGAATGGAAAAGCCATTGTTTACCTTCCTGTTAACCCATTGTGGCCCCTGAAGAAAGGATCATGACTGGTGACCCAGCTCATGACAGCAGCAACCAAACTGCCTTTCAAAGTGACTCTGGGCTCTTATGAAGAACTGTGGGGCCAAATGGCCAGCGTCCATCATGGCCCCACGACGGAGCCTGGCCTCTCCCAGTCTCCTCTCAATGTGAACAAGAATGAAATCTGCAGCTTTACACTTGGCCCAGCTCTCCCTTTCCACTCAGAAGAGCACTGCACACACTGGAAGGCAAGCTTCCGGCACTGGAGAGAAGGATTAGGATGAAATGGAATCTAACAGGCAAATCCCCAGGTACAATATTGAAAATTTGCTCTTTGGGGTCATTGCTAACACTGGCTGCCGCCTCCACCCCTGCTTGGAGCCGGCTGCCCACAGACTCTAGAGCAGTTTTCAAATAAAATGATAAATCTCAGATATCTTAAGTTGGAAAACGGACAGTTGATAAAAACCAATCGTGTTCACTCCAACCCAACCGTAGATAACACAAAAGAACTGTGGGCGGAACAGGCTTTTTTATTTTCTTTAAGAAATGATTTCTTTTTCAAGTTCAAAGTGATTTCAGAACCAAGATGCAGAAAATTAAGCCTCTTCCAAAGGTTTAAAAGCTCCAGTATAATGTTGCCTCAGCAAATACAGTGGATGTTCCGCTTTCGAGCCTCTAGACAGTACACATTTTAAACAGTCACATTTAAATGACCCAGAAAGATGTCTCCTGCAGCGCAAGTACATCTTCTTCAGAATATGGCTACGACTGTGGGGAAGAGGGTGATAGGTCCTGAGTAGGGAGGGAATCATTCACTGTATTTTAAATGCAAATAAAGGTCACAGTTTGACGTCACTACCTCCAACCCAAGGGAAAAATTTTTTAAAAAGTTAAGACAAAGGTACATGTTTAGCAAAACCCCTAGAGACTGTCTAGGGACATGAAATTTCTTTGTTGTATTTAAATATTCCTTTCTTCCTATATGTAACTATTCACTGGATTTTAAAATCATCTGGAAGCCATGCCGCAAGCGATTTCTGGTAGGAAATGGCAAACAACTAGGAAAGGGCTCAAGGACAGAGTCAGTGAATCTATTTCTATCGAACACAGAATGCATTTCAACCTGGCAACTCAGCAGTCTGCCAAGATAAACAGTTCACTTCTCCCTAATCCTCACACCCAAGCTCCTTCATATATATATATATATATGAGTGGTGAAGGAACACACGATTGATTATTATCACAGGAAATGTCAGGCCTCCTATCTACCCACCCTCAGCTAGTACCTTCCCAATACCACTGGAGAGCACCTCTGAATTCGTAAGGGTCTACTGAGTTGCCAAAGAAAGCAGTTCCCCAGTGTGTACTGACCCACCGTTCATGCCACTGTAGACATTCCGGGGATGGGATGCTGAGTCCTCTTGAGCTGGCCGTCGGAGAGTGCCCTCCCTGCTGCCCCCGCCGCTGCCTCCACCGCCACCTACATGTTTGTGATCAGGACTGCCCCCATAATGTTGTTTGAGGTGCTCTGGACTTGTTCCTCTGGCTCTGGGAAGGTGCTCCATGCTCCCTCCAAGGGCATGTTTCTGGAGATGCTCGGGGCTCCCTCCACTGTGCCTGGCATGTTCCGGGCTGCCCCCTGGTCTGTGCTTCTGGAAATGTTCAGGGCTCCCACTCAACACATGCTTGGGCAGCATTTCCGGGCTGCTCCCTGGATGTGGGTGCCTCTGCTGCTCTGGGCTGCCTTTGCACAAGGGCTTGTGGTGCTCAGGGCTAGGTCCTTTCAGTGCTTTGGGGTGATCTGGGGTCCCGGAAGCCCTGGGTTTTTGTAGATGCTCAGGGCTAGTGCTCCTGTGTTTGGTGTGCTCTGGGCTGCCCTCGCTCCGGGGCTTCTGTAGATGCTCAGGGCTGCCCCCACTGGCATGGTGTTTGTGGTGGTCAGGACTGTCGGTGCTGCCAGTGCTGGAGGTGCTGCTGCCATCACCCACATCCCGTACATAGGGTGCAGCAGAGGCCACCAGCTGGCACAGGCTGGCCTGGCTGTCGATGGAGCAGCGGCTGCCTGCACATCCCGTGCCCTTCTCCTCGTCCAGCAGCACACAGAGCTCTTTAAGCTCCATGTTCTCCTTCACCACCTCCTCCTGCTTCACCTCTAGCTCCTTCAGCTTCTGCAGGTATAAGGCCACTTCCTTGTGCATCACTCCAGCTGTGTAGCGACCCAGTCTCTGCCACTCCCGGGACACCCTTTTGCCTTTCTGCCGGTCATCATCCAGGAAGCAGCACAGGTCCCTCAGTTCCTGGTTGTCCTCCTGGAGTTTCTGGTTAATATCCTGTAAAGAGAGACGGGAGCTCAATGCAGACAGACGGAAGATGTGACATCGAGCCTAAACCACCACTAGGAAAAGTCCCAGACCTGGAGAGTCCTTACATAGATTCTCAACCTGTGGGTCACAACTCCTTTGGCGAACATCTAGCTCTAAAAATATTTACATTATGATTCATAAAAGTAGCCAGATCACAGTTATAAACTAGCAATAAAAATAATTTTATGGTTAGGATCACCACAACTTAAGGAACTGTATTAAACAATCACAGCTTTAGGAGGGTTGAGAACCACTGCATATCAGGTGAGAGACCCCCCAGAAAAGTGAAAGATTGTAGCTATTCACAAAGTTAAACTATAGATACTGGTTATGGTCCCTAGGAGATACTCTGTTATTCAGGGTTTTTTTTCTGTTTTCTTTTTCTTTTTTTTTTTTTAATCTCAGCGTTTAGGAGATAATTAATAATTATGACCCTATTACAGAAGAACCTGGGCCTCCGGACGCTTCATTACGTCATCATAACTGTTAATCAACAGGAAATTAGTGCGCTGCACCCCAGCGACAAAGAAGGTTACGTGGTGGCTCACACAGGTAATCCAGTAACCTGGGAGACTCCACAGGACTTTAAGGCTAACCTAGGCAACACAATGAGTTTCAGGCCAGTGATAGAGAAACGAAAGAAAAGAATGTTGTTCGTGCCTTGTGGCTGTGGAGAGGCTCTGGGGCAGCATTTCTTTAAAAAGCTGGTTTGAAGTTTTCAGACTCAACAGGGGTTAGAGCTGTCCCATTCCCTCAGACCCCAGGGAGAAGCACAGTGCCCCCTAGTGGCAATTTAAGTCCATTTTATCCACCCTTACTGGCCATACCCAATGGGAATTCACCCAAGTCACTCAACCAGAGCTGCTACTATTCTAGTACTCCTCCCCAAACTGCCCCCTCAGCAAATGCCACCTCCACCTGTCACTCTTTATAAAAAAGGGGGGTCATCCCTGTATCTTCCCCCTCACCTCCACTTCTGAGCCAAACAAATACTTGGAATTTGGACCTTCAACACTGAAACTTCTTATTTATTCCCATTGTCCTTAGAATACAGGGTCCCTCAAGTCTCACAGAGCTTCAAATGTTCTGTTTCTGTGCATTTCTCCAACACGCATGGTGATTCGTTCATTTACTCACAAAGAGTTAGTAGTCACAGTTTATGTGCTAGGAACTAGTGCAAACGTTAGGAATGTATTCATGAACACTCAAGAGGCCCTAGACCTTAAAATCCTGACACTTTCGCTCTGGTAAAAAGGGGTATCCAAGATTGGCAGTATCATGTATAAAAAGTGCTGGGGGAAGCCCCTCCCCCTGCCTTCATAACCTGCCTTCCTCTACATCCTCTGTCTTCAGTCACTAACCCCAATACAGGCATTCCTTACCAGACTGTCTTCAACAACTCTTTCTGCATGTTGAGCCCCTCCTGAAACACCTCAGTTAACTCTGTTTGTCAGGAAAAATTAATAAATCCTTTTTCTACATGATTATGTTCATGCATTCTAAGTACAAGATATCTCCTTGTTCACAGAATGAACACAAAATGAGAGGTTTCTCTGAGAAGTATCCCCAGCACCATACCATCACCCATGATGCAATGCTGCTCCTACCTAATGTTTCAAGGATTTAGCATATTTGAGCATTCACCACATCACCTTCATCTCCTTTCTCATATACAGTTCTGGCAATGTGAAAACCAGTTGTCTGATGTCTCTGTCTATGCAACCCACTTATCATGCTTTGCTACATGGACACACGGACATGTACTGTGGAAACAATATCTAGTTATGGACTCTAGGCCTATGGCCCAAACAAGCTACAGCTGTAGCTACTGAGAAAGGCTTCCATGCTGTTTTCAGATAGCTCCTGGGTTGTACAGTAGGAAGAGGGTACATTATCACTTGATATTGATGCTTTAGAGGAAATCAGAAGCTTGGTGTACTCCAGGAAAATAATACCAAACAAAATCAATCTGGATGAGCTTCAGAAATTAACATTTAGCTCCATCAAGACACTTGAGATGAAGTTCAGGGTGTATTGTTCTTTGTCTGTATGGATTTCCACCTGGGAAAACCTGAATGTGTCTCTGCTGGTCTTGACTTCCTAGAACTATAATATGCACAGGTCTGCTGTTATTATAGGCTTTTCTTTAAGAAGAAGAAAAAAAAGAGGACACTTTGCAACATTCCAGGGTAGGTGGTCCAGCACGGGCCCATTCACCACACCCATAGCTCCTGCGTCGTAATCCTGTTCTTGAGAATATATCTTCACTGGTGATCTATCTTCTTCACCTATGTTGGACATATAAGCAACCAACCTGAACTGATAATCTTGTGAGCTAACTTCTTCGAATTTGGCACATTAAAAGAAAGACTTTCTAAAATAAATAAATAAATAAATAAACCACACACATACACACACACACACACACACACACAAATGTTCATTTAACATCACCGTAGGTCACAAGATATTACTCTAAGTGCCTAAAGTAGTAGCCATTTAAAAGTACTCAAGATTTCAATTTACTAGAAGCTGTACCTATGGTATAAGAAGAATTGTTTCTTTATGTTCTCTGCAGACATGGGGGGTAAGGGAGCACAGTGATTCGAATGAGAACGCCACCTCCCCCAGGCTCAGCTATCTGAACAAGTCTCCAGTTGGTTCTGATTTCTCAGAGATGTTTAGCAGGTAGGACTTGCTGGAGGAAGTGTGTCACAGGAAGTCAAAAGGCCTTTCTCCGCTGCCTGTTGTCTCTACTATCTGCTTTGTGTTAGCAGTTGCAGATGAGAGCTCTCAGCTTCCTGCTCCTGACATCATGCCATTTGCTGTCATGATGGACTTTTGTCTCCCTGGAATCATCGGTCCAAATAAACCCTTTCTTCTCTAAACTGCCTTGACCAGGGTGTTTCATCACAGCAACCAAGCAAGTGGTGATATTAAAATAATATGGGCAGCAAAGCTGCAGCTACTCAGTTCCTCCAGAGCATCCCTACCTGGACCAGGCTTGACAGTACAAACAAATGGGTTTTAGTTCCCCAAAACATCAGCACTCTAACCAGACTGCCTTTCCCCATGTCTTCTGGGTCCATACACTAGACACTGAGGACACCCACCAAGACTTTACTGAACATTACACTCTGGGTGACCTTGAGGAAGCATTTGCAACCCACTGGAGTGTTTGTGTGTGTGTGTGTGTGTGTGTGTGTGTGTGTGCGTGTGTAATATTTAACATTCATAAAACCTCATATAGCACCACAATCCCCATTGAACAGATTGGAAGAGTAAGGCTGAGAGGCCAACAGTTTCCCAAGGTGACCAAACTCTTCAAAGGCACTGGCACCTAATCACTTCGAAATATTTAGATATGATTTGTAAAGTCAGGTCACAGGTGTTGTCATCCCTGTCACCCAACGTTCACAGTTTTCAAGAGTGCCAGACTCTTAGAGGATCCCCACATGGAATCACTTTCTTGCAGTTAAGACAAAAAATAAGGAAATATGCCTATCATTCTTTCAGTCGAGCACATTCATGGTTACCTATGGGAATCCAAGGAAGCTCTAATCCCAGCTGATGAACAGAAGGGAGAACACTGGCCTCAAAGAAACTTTAGCCCACTGTTCACTCAGGGTGGACCAAAGACCTGGGATCTACCATGTTTACCACAAGACGGGAGAAGAATCTGCAACAGAAAGTGAGTGGTCTCCTGAGCGTGTGTGTGCTGTTAACATGACCACGGCCACGTCAAGAACCCCAATACCACAGACCCATGGGAGTGGGAAAGCCTTCCTCAGGTGAGACTCAAAAGGATGGCAAGGCCTTCCTCATGTTCAAATATGGATGCTGACAGTGTGCACAAAAATATTGATTGTAGCTTCCTTCCTTCCTTCACCAGGGGTTCACAGCCCGAAGACAGCTACTGTATAGAGTCTACTCCTACAAAGATTAGCCAAGCCTTCCTCACCTCCTTCTTTACCCATATGCAATATCTCTGCCTCCTGGTTCAACTGTATCTGATAAGCACCCTGAGCCTGAAGAGTACTGTGCTTCCGCAACTCCATCAGCGTGAGTGTCTCCCACCGAATCCAGCTTTTCTGTGTGTGCCTGAGTGTTGTCATTTCTTCATTCCCTTCCCACCCCTAGTCAGGGTTCTGGAATCAAAGCCACAAAAGAACATCACGGTGACCAACCGCAGTTGCATCAAAGTTGATAAGGAGGTAGCTTACAAAACTTTGCAATATTGGGTCATGAATCCAGACTTTGAAGTTTTCTACTTGGGGCAAAATTGCTTGATCTGGCCCAATAGCTATTTCTCTAAATGAGGCTACTGGAAGGATTGACCAGTTAGTTTGGGTTCACACTACTCCTCCCCTCTCTCCTAGACCTGCACACAGAGTACACAACCTAAAAGAACTTCCAAGGATTTCTTCAGTTATTAACATTAGTTCCTCATTGAATGAAACCTTTAGGAAGTTAATGAAAAACTCTTCCAATTCACATTGTGTTTCAAACCATGAAAGGAGACTAAATGGCAGCACAGCAAACAAATCCTATTGCCCAGCCTTGCCTAGGAACCCCTGATCCTAGAGGCACGCAGTTCGACATGTACGCTTTCTCCTGACGACAGTAACTACCATATTTTGCAGTCAGTTTCAGCATCAAACCTCCCCCTACAGTATTGTGTCTTATTTTCACAACACCCCTAGGAAGTAGATCTAATCATTCATATTTTATTAATCAACAAAACAAGGATTCTGAGAAATTAATTATGCAAGGTTGCCTCCCTGGTAGATGAGGGTCCTCAATTCAAACTTACTTCCAAGACCATATTTCTTCTATTCTATCATTCCTCTCATTTCCCCTTGGAACCTCTATTAGTAATGAATTAAAAGGAGGAAAACATTGACTATGGGAATATTCCTATCTGCATCATTCTCTAGTGTGACACTGGGTTTGGACCTGAGGGAATCATCTCCACTGGGGCTCATACATAGGTGAGCCTGGAGCATCCAGCCCTTCCCGTTCCTCAGTACCTCAGAATCCCAGAGCTGGAATGCTGGGACAATTAAGGAACGAGTGGGAGAGGAGAGGGACTGGAACAGTTTGTGACTGGAGGGAATTTGGTCCCTGGGGTGCCTACATTGATTTCGTTTGTGTCTGGCTTCCTACAAACAAAAGCAGAACAATGAGAGGAAGGAATACCAGGAGGCACCAGGCAAGCTGTGAGCAGAGGAAGTTTGCAGTGCACAGCGGCAGGGCGGTTCCCCATAGGTCTGCAGCAGCCTGGCTGACACATTAGAGCTCTCCGAAGAGAGAGGAAAAAAAAAGTTCGTGGGTTTGGAGTAGACCTGGTTCAAAAAACAAAGCATTACTTACTGGCACCTTCTACAATGTCCCCTACGCTTAAAAAATTCAGTGTGAAATCCGGAATGACTAGTGCAGGGAAGTAAAGCAACTCCAGGTGACGCCAACGTTAGCAGGCAAAGGAAATCACCGGATCTAGCTAAGACTTGAAGGCAGAAATGACGCTCACCTACACCAGCACCGGGTTACATTCATATGGGCTCTTCGGGTGGAACCCGACGCTTCTGTCCTGTTCCCAGCAATGATGCCCTTTCTTTGCCCTCTGTTCGCCAGAAAGCTAGTGGCTCCAGAGCAGCTACACTTGATCCCTAAAGACGCTCTGAGGTGGCAAGCTCGCTAGTCATCTCCCGCGGGGGACTGTAACCTATTTCCTGAAGCATCGACTTTCTAGGCTCCCCGTGCTCCCCGTGTCCCTCGCTGACTTCTGGCATCCTTGGTTCTTGCTTCCCTAGTCTCAGAAGAGTCAGAGAGAAAGCCGGATGCCGGTAAGTGTAAGGGAGAAGGGAAGCAAAAGCCTCCAAAGTTTGAAAAACTTTCTTAAGGGCTGGAGATGGGGACACTGGGTGCTACAGGGAGAAAGGGGAAGCTCACCTGTTGACCAAGGAAGGAAACTTTGACTGCTCTCCCCGCCGCCCCCCCCCCCCCCCCCTCCCACTCCCAGATCCCTGTCCCGCCCAGCCCGGCCTTCTCCCCAAGCCCAATGCTCACCTTGAGCCCTCGGATCTCGCCGAGATGGAGCTGCAGGCGGCGGTTGACCTCGCGAATGAGGTTGCTGTGGTCCAGCATCGCGCTCACCTTCTCCGCCTCAGCACGCCGCAGGCTGCGGATCAGCTCCTCCTTGCTCCACTGCAGCAGCTCTTCGTCTGTCACTTTGGACAGATCCTCCACGCCCGGGGCTGGCGACACACCGGCTGGAACCGAGGGACAACTTTCCGCCGCCGGCGCCGCGCCTCCAGCCGCCTTCGACATGGTATCCGCGCGGCGGCAGGTGCGAGTGGGTGGAAGAGGCGAAGCAACTGGCGAAGGCGCGGGCGCGGCTGAGCGGCCTCCGCCCACACCCCTGTGCGCTCCGAGAGTCAGAGGCACCGCCCGGGGACCGCTGCGTGGGGACCGCGGGGATCGCGCTGCGTGGCCATCCTACCTCGCCATCCGCGCGCGCACACCTGCCGAGTCCCGGGGCCCGACAGCCAACCGCGGGTGCCTGCAGTGGTCCATTCCAACTCCGCTCAAGTCCATGGTGAAGGGCGCCCGGAAACCGAAGCGGGCGGGGACACCCAGAGGGCACTGCCTCAATCCCTTGGCCTCTCCGCCCAGAAAGAGACAGTCGCCTCCCCCCCCCCCCCCAAGACTTGTCAAACACACGCACACGCCTTTCTTTCCCCCTGGCTCTGCCCGAGGCTCCACCGCTTTCTTAACAGCCCAGGATTTGGTGAGAGCCCGGCCTTCCCGGAAAGGCTCAAGCACGCTGCGTCGCTGCCCTTTACCGAAGGCTCGGCGCTGCCGGCTGGCTGTAGTCCGCCGGCCGCTGATCCTAAACTGTTCTGAGAAGCCTTAGGCTTTCAGAGCCTAGTGAAAGAAGGGGGGAGGGTTGGGGAGCGGCTAAGGGAGGAGGCTGGCGCCCCGGGAGCCCGCATCCCGCTGTGCCTCCTGCTAGGGCTAGATGCTACACTTAAGCTGCTTCAAGGGACCCTAAGCACTAGGTGCTGTGGACCAGGGATGGCTGGGGGCGCGGCTCCCAGAGCGCAGGGGTGAGGGTGGGGCTGGAGTCTAAAGCAGGTGCGAAGCAGGAGTCGCCAGTGTCTTTCGAGGCTCGAGCGCGCCACCAAGTGACGGAAGGCGGTCCCCTCCCCTCCATCTCTGCAAGCTAGACTTGTTACCAGGCAGGGGAGACAGCCTGCTGACCAAAATGAGAGACAGTACTTGGAAGAATTGGAGATGCAAAAAACGCAAGAGCAAGACCTATGGAATAACTAGCTAGATAAAGTTGTGGGCTCTGAAGAAGAGGGAAAAAGCCTGTACCGAAGGTCACAAAACCCTGAAGCTCAGAAAAGGGGGGGAAAGGGATGTTGAACTCAGCTCTTTGGAAATATCCTCCCCACCCCCAGCCCTTTGTTTTCACTAAAAACTCACCACGTCATGAAGAAGGGGAAAGTACTGGGCCTTTTAAATTTTCATTTGAGAAACATTCAGGCCTTTAGAAAATAAAATAACTTCTATCTCTTCTGGGTCCTAGATTTTAAGGTATGCACACCCCCTGCCCTCCGCAAAAGGCTCTCCCATAGACAAGCTGAAACACCAGCCAATAGCAATGGAACTTTGCACTTCTCTGTACAGCAGGCCGCCACAGGCTGGGCTGGCCTCCGATGGTCCTATCCAGAAAAAGACTCTTTGTATTCTATGCTTTGGCTACCCTCTGGTTAAGTAAAATGCAATCCTCTTTGAGCTGAAATGCCCTGTTTTCCTAAAGGCCCTGCACAAGGCCCTAAAAATGTCATTTCTGGGAAGTGGACAGGCCCGGAGCTTTACAAAATCATACATACACCCTGGGCTTCCATCACCATGAGGATCTCGATCGCTGTCCCACCAATGAGGCAGTGTGTGCCCTCTTCAAAGACACCACCTTTTTAACTAAAAAGATGATGAGTTAGAGACTGAGACCTCTGCTTTCTAGATAGCAAGGAAGTCCATATTGCTGCCCGCTGACCAAGATACCTACCCACCATGTAACTGACTCTCCACAGGCTTCTACGTCTGAGCCCTCGACCTCTCTTCTCATTGCACATATTACCTCCAACTTCCTCTCTGATGCACCGGGATCTAACTCTCCTTCCCATAAACCTTTGGTTAGATTTTCAACACAGAAATCTTTCTTGGGACATGGAGACACTAATCATCAGAGACAGTGGCTCCCCTCTCTCCCCTGTCTGGGTGCACGGGGTGGGGAGGAGCAGGGAGGAGGGGCAAGCAGCTGACTGTAGAAAGTCACTCAGCATTCTCAGAGACCTCCAGCACTTCCCACAACTCACCTCGGTGCACAACCATCCCACCCTTTCACTTCAGATAACTTCTCCAGTGTCTCCCCCGTTGTGATGGTCTTAACTACATCCCTTGCAATTTTCTCGATAGTTCCCTCTCTCTCAAATAAATGCACAGAAGGTTTTCAAGACAGCAGCGGCTCAGACCAGTTCCGGGATGGGAAGAGAAAATGCAAAATGGAGAGTTAGGAGTCTTGCTACTTGTTCTTAAATGAATCATCTAGAGTTGCTGGCGCTTAGGCCACCATGGGAATGGAGCACTTAAGTGCTGAAGTCAAGGCCTTTGATCCCAGTGCCCAGGAGCAGCTTCTTGGCTGAGCCTTGGAACCACCATGGTAACCCCAGACAACAGCTTACTCCTCAGGACTCATAACAGACTCATCTTTTGTCCTTCAACTCTTTCCCTATGTGGTCATCCTTTGCAATCCCCTTGAAAGGTTCACTTTCAGCAGATCCCACTTCTACTACTGACCCCTAATCTTAGACTTCAAAGACTCCAGAACTGTGGGAAAGAAATATGTAATATCTTTAAGTCACCCAGTAATAGGCCAGCTAAGAAAGTGTGTTTTCCCTCTGTGAGCCCCTGACTCTTTGAAGACAAGATTCACTTCCTAGCTCAGAATAAGCACAGAATTTTAAAACCTGAAAAGAAAGAGGTTGAAGGGAAAGAGCATTCCAGGGACCTTTCCTTGTCCGGGTCTCTTTGTTTGGATTGCCTTACAACCCACACTATATGCCCAAGCCCTCTTAATTTTGAAAATATTAATTACTGTTGAGTAATTAATTATTCATGCTGTTTAGTAATTAATTAATTAATTGTTCTATAGGAGAAGTTGGGGAGTACAGAGCTGGAACTTTTGCAAAATTGCTTAAAATTAGGATAAATGTAGCTAAAATGACTTAACCTAAAATTTCTGCAAAATACATTCAGTTGACAGGGTTTTTGCTGATAATGTCAGACAAAAGCAATCTGCATGATAAGACAGGATAGACCTCACTTTATCTTGTGTCGAGCCCAATAACACGGGCTGCTATAGAAACATTCTGTCTTGTTTCACCAAGAGCCAATTTCCTAGGAAACATGCAAACCGCAGCATAAACATATTACTGTTCACCTTTGACACCCAATTCTGAGACTAGAATTATGTTCTCCATGCCCAATGAACTGTACTTGCTAAGACCATGAGTCAAAACATCCCCATTTTCCCATGTTTCTTCAAGCTAGATATGGCCATCACAATGCAAAAAGGAACACATGGTTCCATCATTAGTCTCAACCAGTCTGGGAAGAGAGATTGTCTGAGATGTTATGAAGGTCTCTCATAGGAGGAGGAGGAGCAGTGGGACCATCTTATGTTCCCCTCTAAGACTGTGATTAAAGATGTGCGATGCCCAATTTCTAGTGTGTCTACTGGGATTAAAGGTGTGTATCATCACTGCCTGGTCTATAAGGCTGGCCAGTATGGCCGGTTCACCTTTCTCATCCTCAAGCAAGCTTTATTTATTAAAATGCAAATGAAATGCCCCTACAAGTAAGTTTGCAGCCTCTACAAGAAGCCAATAGAAAGCCACTTAAAACAAGGCATGGCTGTGCTTTCATTGTTACTGTTTCCTTGTCTTTATTAGCTAGTCAACACCTACTGATCCCTACCCAGCCCTTCCTTTTTAGAGGGCAAGGATCTCATTCATCAGTAAATGCTCTACCACAACTGTTATAGAAGCTCACTAGAGGCTGTTCAAATGCATCTGAAGCTCAGTTCCTGGGGTGCCCCGCTCTGATGTGAACACAAGAGGAGAACAAAAGGAGGGTGACTTCCTAAAGGGATGTCCCTATGGGCAAACAACAGATCACTCACAACATCACTGCTACAACCAGGCCTGCAGGCCCCATCCCTCGGAGTATTTCTGAGAATCTATAACCTTGGGAACAGAGAAAAGAGAGTTCTAAAGGCAGGGCCTACCTATCGGGTCTGACCTGCAAGGCGAAATCCCTGCAGAACTCGCCCACTGCTGCTTGTCCTCAAAGAACCCTCAGCCATCACTTCTGGAAAAGTGTGGTTCTTCTGTTCACAGCTCACAGGTGAAAACACCACACTTCATCACACCTTTGTGTGACATTTGCCTTGTTTGTCTTGTATACACAAGTAAACTGCTCCAAGTATTCACAGGGGATCAGGGCAATTAGGAAGGAAGTCTGTTCTCTATTTCTCCAACAGTCATGGCTCTGACAGCTGGGGGTCAAGTTCCCCCCATATAATTCAATGCTGTAAATAGGAGACTAACATGGAGTCCTACTCAGTGCCCTTCAGAATAGACTTGGCGCCACCCCAAGGTGTCATGGCCACACTGCAAACAGAGAAGTGCTTTCTCAAAAATGAAGGCATGGTCTTAGTGATCACCTAAAGGATATGTGTGACATTTCCAGAGAAGGAGGTAGAGGCTCAGGCCAAACTCTCACAGCTGGTAACTGAGTTACTTCTGATGTCCACATTTGCTAGAAAAGAGAGGAGAGGCTTGAGAGCCCCCAAGTACGTAGTCTGGATCCTTCTGTGATATGTTCAATGAGACAGAGTTTGGGCATTAATGAAAGAACAAATGAAAACTAAAATAAAATAAATAAAAATTTAAAAAGCAATAAAAAGTAAAACTTTGGGGCATTAGTGGAAGAGCAAATAAAAAATGAGAAGTGGCTTTGAGGGTAGCAGAAAGGGAATCTACAGTCTTCGCCACATTGTAGAGTCCCAGCTGCAGAATGATTCAACAGGACAACAGTAGGGACTTGTCTCTTTGGGTCCTATAGGAGCATTGGAAATTTCTAACCCTACTGCTCTGCTCCTCAGAGATGCTCACACATGAGACTCACTGCTTCTGCACTACCATGACGCTGTTGAGTCCTTTGTCTGGAAGGTCAACTTCCAAGCACCAAAATGGACATCATCACTGACCAGCACCTTCAGTGTCTTCATCTTGACTCCACCACCTTATTTCTCCATTTCCTTCAGTCAATCACTACTATTGTTTTTTTTTGACAGGATCTCACTATGTGACCAGAAATTGCTACCTAGACCATGCTGGTCCCAAACTCACAAATATCCACCTAGATTAAAGATGGCTGCCTGCAGGATATGCTGAGGGGACAGGGGCAGGAGAAGAGACAGGTATACAAGAACAGCTTTTGTTACCACTATTCTTTTAATTTTTACTTTAAGCTGTGAGTTCTGTGGGGGACATAGCTGCTGGTGCTATGTCTGACTGATCTGTCAGAGGCCTCGGTAGC